GCCGCAAGGCGTCCCGTCAGCCGTTGTACTTCTTTGATGTTGCGGGGTGGCTCCATATTGATGATGGCTTGTATTTTCTCCGGGTTCACCTCGATGCCCCTTCGAGTGACCAGGTACCCCAGGAATTTACCTCCCTGGACGCCGAAGGTGCACTTCTTTGGGTTGAGCCGGAGGTTGTATCTCTTCATGATCTCGAAGATGCCCCGGAGGTCGTCGGCATGGGTTGTGGATTGTTTGCTCTTGACGATCATATCGTCGACGTATGCTTCCATCGTCCGACCTAAGACTGCTCTAAAAATCCGGGCTACCATCCTTGTGTAGGTGGCGCCGGAGTTCTTGAGCCCAAAGGCCATGACGAGGTAGCAAAAAATTCCTTCCTGGGTCATAAAAGCGGTCTTCTCCGCGTCATCTTCGTGCATGGATATCTGGTGGTACCCTCTGAACGCGTCGAGGAACGACATCAACTCGCACCCCGCCGTCTCATCCACCAACTGATCAATGTTGGGGAGAGGGAATGGGTCCATTGGGCACGCCTTGTTCAAGTCAGTGTAATCAACACACATTCTGAACGTAGGCGGCTTTGGGGCGAGGACGACGTTCGCCAACCACGTGGGGTACTTCACCTCTCTGATGTGCTTGATGTTGAGCAGCATGGCCACCTCGGCCTTGACAAATTCCCTCCTGTCGGCTGAGAGGTAGCGCTTCTTCTGTTTGATGGGGGAGGAGGCCGGGTTCACCGATAGCCGATGTGTGATTACCTTCGGGCTGATGCCCGGCATGTCCTCTGGCCCCCATGCAAAGACGATGGCGTACGCCCTTAGGACAGAGAGGATGTCCCTTCTGATTTGTTGGGGGAGCTGTGTCCCAATCTTCAGCATGCGTTCCGGCCGGGAGACGTCCAACGGAACATCTTCCACGTCTCCGACCGGTTCGGCCTTTGGTGTGTCTTCTTCGGCCGAGGCGGTGGTGATGGTGTCTATCCGCTCCTCGGCTTCATTGATTTTCCTTGTGAGCTTCAGGTAGCAAGCCCTGGCTATCTTCTGGTTCCCTCTGGCGTAGCCGACGCCGTCCTTGGTGGGGAACTTGAGGCATAGATGTCTCATGGAGATGATGGCCTCAAGGTCCTCCAAGGCCGGTCGTCCCCAAATCATGTTGTGGGCGCTGTCCAGGTTGACAACCACGAACTCCATGTCAATCTTCGCCTGACAGGTACCGTCACCGACCACAACGGGAAGCACTATCGTGCCCTCGGCGTCGATAGAGTCCCCGGTGAAGCCGGATAACGGAGTCCGTATCGACCGGAGCTCGGTCTTCTTCAGCTTCAGCTGTCTGAATGTATCAACGTACATCACATTGACGGAGCTGCCAGTGTCGATGTAGTTGCGGTGAATGATGTTGTTGCCAATCTCGCATTTGATGACGAGGGCGTTCCTGTGGGGCAAGGGGCCGCAGGGGAGATCTTTGTCGGTGAAGGTGATGGCCTCCATGTGCCGTCGCTTCGGCTGAGGGGGGGCGTGGGACACCTCACCAACGTATAGGGACTGAGCCCATTTTTCCGTTGGGTAGCCGAGTCCCCCCTGTGTTCCCGCCGACGATGATGTGAATGTGATGCTTCTTCTGGCGGGGCTCCTCTTCGTCCTCGTCTTCACTGAGGGCGCCGATCTCCCTCTTTTTCCCGGAGGATCCTTCCCCCCTTTTGCCAGGGTTAACCCAAGTGTTACTCTTGGGGGCACCCTTGACAAATTGGGAAAGTTCCCCCTGTCGGACGAGGCCGTCGATGTGCCTCTTCAAGGTGGTGCAATCCTCGGTCTTGTGGGATGTCTGGCGGTGGTACTTGCAATACGTCCCTCCCTTGTGGACCGCAAATATCTCCTCCTCTGACCTGGGGTCCTTCACAATGAGGCCCTGCGCCTCGGCGTGGTCGAGGACGACGCTCACCGGGTGGGTGAGGGGGATGCGTTGTGCTTCCAACTTTGGACGCCATGAACGGTCATCTCTTCGCTGTCCGCCTTGCTCCTGGTGTGCCTTCTTTGGCTGGTGTTGTCCCTTGTTGACCGGCGGGTGGTGGGGGTTGGACGAGGAGTCCTTCTTCTGTTGCTTCTCCCCACCCTTCTTCTGGTTCAGGAGCTCGTCGGCATCGGCGTGCCTGTCCCCGCGTCGGAGCGCCGCGAGGTATGACCGCGGGGGCTCTGTGAACAGGCTTCAGGCGAAGTGGCTTGGCCGTAGTGCTCCGCGGAGGAAGGCCAGGAGGGTGCGTTCATCGGCTCCCTCACATTCGTCTGCCTCCCTCGTCCAGCGATCGAGGAAGGCTCGGAGCGTCTCCTCCGATTGTTGTTTGATGGTCAGGAGATGAGCGAAATGCTTCTTCGCACGTTTCCTCCCAGCAAAGTGGGTGAGGAAGCGTTGAGCAAGGTCCTGCCATGAGTCGATGCTCCCCTCCGGAAGGTTATTGAACCAATCGTACGCTGGTCCTTCCAAGGTGGATAGGAACCAGCGACACATGTATTCTTCCGAAGCGTTTGTCATCATCATATTGTTCTGATAGCGGGTGAAGTGCTCCTGGGGGTCAGTGCGGCCGTCATATGGCTTGATCGGGTTCCCCTTATACTTCTCCGGGATGGGAGCGGAGAGTACCCTCGCAGAGAAGGGGGTTCTGGTCCGTATCTGGATGACGGGTTCATCGCGCCGGTCAGCCAACTCCCTTTCCAGAGCACTGACCTTGCTCAGGAGCGCGTCGTAGTTGGGATGCTGGGATGTGTGGGCCGATGCGCGCCCTGCGGCCTCTCGGGCCTCCATGTCAGCGAGGCGCTTCTCCAAACGGGCGATGATCTCATCCCTTGGGTCCGTGTTGGCCGCGGCGCCGCCCAGAGGGGTCTGGATCCGGGCCGCGTGGGCCAGGTTGATTTGGTGGCGCGCATCGTCATCAACCAGCTTTCCTTTTCCTTTGTCTGGCCGGGGCCGGTCCGTTGTCCGGGACACGGACCCGAAGCTTTCCTTCGGTGATCCCGGCTCGCGGGCACCCAACCGATCCGCCGCCCTTCCCGTAGGTACCCGGCGACTCGCGATGTCACCCAGCCTGTTGAATGCTGAGATTTTACCGCGAGGTTGGGCCGGTGTATCCCGGGTAGGCGAGGCAGTATGGGAATGGGTGTCCACGGCGAGGACATCTTCGTTGTTGCCGAAGAAGGTGACGCCCTGTGGACGAGGTGGCGGCGGTGGCACCGTTGCGACCTCCCCAGTCACAGGGGTGTTGTTTTCCCCGGTCTTTGCGACAAGGGCGCTGACCACGTTGGGGTCCTGGAGGATGCTCGCAACAATGGCCGATAGTGCGGCCGGGTTGATCTGGGGAGCAACAGGGTTAGAGGCCTGCTGGCCCGAAGCGCGATCAGCATTGCGCTTGTCCTCGAGCCCGATACGGGCGTCAGGAGCGGTCTTGTTGAGTTGGACGCGAAGGTCGGCCGCTGCGAGCTCGACCTCCTGCGCGTTCTCATCCTGAATGATGAGATCATTGGGGACGTTGTCAGCAACGTTTCCCTGCCCTTCCTGGTTCAGAGGGGCATTCCTTCCGGTGTTCTTTGACCTAGTTCTTGTCATTCTAGTGGTAGTGTCTGGCAGCGACGAAGGGTACTCACTTGATCTGTTCTAAGCTCTCAACGAGAGCACCAAATAATAATAATAGTAGTGGTAGTAGCAGTAGTAGTATTAATTAGCTGTACAATTATACTAGTTACTAGTTACTACTCATTAGTTTTAAAAAAATACTAGTTAAATACTTATTTTATTAAAATTATTAGGAATAAGTATTCATAATTTATGGAGAAATTCATAAGAATAATTCCTAATTTCATATATCCTATAATAATAATTCCTCTTGTGAGTGTTCATAAATTGGAAAAATCCCTAAATAGGAGCAAAAAACTTTTGAAATTCTAAAATAGAACTGTCATGTTTTTATTTCCTAAATAAGAGTAAATTTTGCCAAGTTTGGAAAAAATGTCATGTTTAAAGTCTGGTAATGCCAAACTTGGCAGAAGTTACTTTTATTTAGGAAATAAAAACATGACAATCCTATTTTATAATTTCAAAACTTTTTTGCACCTATTCAAAACAATCTGTCATTGATGAAATTATAACACGTGAAATTAATGAAATTATAACGTATATAACTCATTTGAAAGTTTGCTTATACTTGTATAAGCTTATGTCTCTTTATCATTAAGAGCTCGTTTGGTAATACTAAAATCAGGTTAATCAGATGATGCTACTGAAATTTATGAAATTCTGACTGAAGTGGTTCATTCTACTGATTTGTGAAAAATTATACTTCATCCCTTCTTTTTTAATTGCAACAGTCCATATTTCACGCTTGTCAAAGCACAAGTTTGACCTTATTAGTAAAAAATTAAAAAATTCAGATTTTTAAATTTTAAAATGAGAGGAATTTAAAAATATTTTTCAAAATTTCAATCTATAGTAAATTGATAAATAAAAAAAATCAAAGTAGAATATGTGAATAGTGCAAAAAGCTCAATGTCGCAATTAAAAGAAAACGGAGGTAGTATTTAAAATATATTTTATTTAAAAAATAAAGAAACAATTATATCACAAAATAGCTAAAATGATTTCTGCACTAACTTTAAAAATAAAAAAAGTAACTTCAACCTTACTTTTTCTTATTACTACACAATCCAATGCACAAAATCAATAGTAACGTTTTCAGTGAAAAAAATCGCTCATAAAACGTATTAAATTGAAAAACACAATCACCCAAAGAACTCTAAATATACAAACATCAAGTATGAAATTATTTTCAAAAAGTCTTGGTGTACACCCTGGGGTACACCATATATAAACCTTCTTTTTTACTGCTTCCTTTTACCCCTCCTCTCACACAGCCCTCCCCTCCCCATCCCTCACGCACATTTTCTTTCTCTCCCACATCCCTCTCTTCGTTCTCTGCTTCTCACCTTTCTCTCTGTTTTTTAATTTTCTTTTTCCAGATATAATGGATGATTTTCTAGCATATTTGATGGTGGATGGAGAAGTGACCGGAAATGACGGAGGTTTGGAAGATACCTATGACGGACGACGGAAATGGAAGAAACGCAGAAGTTGTGAACGAAGAAGATGGAGCTGCGACGGAGGATGGAAATGGTGGGCTGTGAACGAGGAAGATGGTGGTCCAAACAACGTTAGGGACGAAGACTTAGGTGGGACAGGTGGTGGACATGTGACACAAGGCGTCAACGAAGTTCCGATATTTGACAGCCGGGATGATTACAGTTGTGACGGGGAAGAGAATAGCAGGGAGAAGACGAATTAGATGTTGGAGGTATTTTCTTTTACACACACAGACAGCTTACATACGTAGTGTCGGTGTGTACCGACAACTAATGTCGCTGTGTACAGAGTAGTGTCGGTATGTATAGACAACTGAAGAAATTCTCATTGAGTTAATGTATACCTACAAAGATGAATGTTGTATCTATGAATGAGTTATGTATCTATGAATGTTGTTAATGTATACCTACAAAGACGTATTTGATTTATGAATATTGTTAATGTATACCTATCAAGATTTTTTTATATCTATGAATGTTGTTAATATATACCCTACTACTATAATGTATACCTACAAAGATGAATGTTGTATCTATGAATGAGTTAATGTAAAATGATTATTTGATTATGTGAACAGATGGAGATAACAATGGTGATGAATGTGAACAAATTCGAAAGATAGGCATGAAGTCTCCTACAAAAGATGCAGTTTATGATTTCTACAAAAAGTGTACATATGTCGGTGTGCACAGGCGAATGAAAGGCTCCTGGGTGATTGTACTGACAACTAGTGTCGGTGTGAACAGAGTAATAGTGTTTTTGTAGGTGTACACAGACAGTACTTTCTTTGTAAGTGTTTGTGTGACAATATGGTTTGAGTTTAGTAATATGGTTTGAGTTGTTAACTTGTTATGTAAGATTACCGAAATGTAACGGCTTTTGTTGTGTGAGTTATATACAAAAGTGAGAGATTTATGATTCTATTTGGTTTGTAAGTGTTACTTTGCCAACATGGTTGGAGTTGGGTTGGAGTTGTCTGTGAGCTTCATATGATATGCCTGTGACGTTCATATCGTTGTCTATGAGCTTTATGGTAGTTGTTTATGAAATTCAAATAGTTGTGTGTGAGTAATATTGTTGTCTCTAAGATTCATATGTGTTAGTGTAATTTAAGAGACAACACATTCATATATATGTGTGTGTGTGTACAAATGCTACCAATCACCCTTCTTTTATTTATTTCAAGTCCTTTCAGTACACACATAGTAATAACAACTACACAGATACTATTGTCGGTGCACACATACAATAATAACAACTAAGAGATATTACTTTCGGTGTACAAAGACAATATGAACAAGTCACAAACATATGTGTAGACATAATAATAGCAAGTACATAAATATTTCCCTCCTCGTTGTTGCAGCCTACCTAAAGCGCCCTGGAAGTGAATGTATTCACATGCAAGAATATTACTCACAAACAATTCCAAGAAGTTTATAGACAATTCATATGAAGCTCATAAATAACAATGTGAAATGCTTCATCTTGTATAATGATGTACATTATTGGTTGTATTGTTTTGTACAACGTTGAACACTTGCCCAAGTTGATTGTATCCATCTGTTTACAAAATCAAATAGTTCTATTTATTGAACTACAATATTGACATACATCTTTCATACATTTTGTAGGTGACCTACACAAATCTATATAAATAATACATTTATTACAATATTTGTGGGTAAAGTCAATGAGAATGTCTTCATTTTTCTGCACACACAGACACCAGATGTTGTTATAATCAATGAGGACGTTGTCATTCATCTGTCACACCTCATCATCATTTTTCTCAGAAGCCGAATCACCTTCCTACAAACGTAAATAAATATGTAAAAAGTTAGACAAACACAAACTTGTTTATGGAGACATGCATATGATAGGAAGTAGTCTGTGAGCATAGACACCTGTTATGGACAGATATGCACAAGCACAAAAAAATTGTTTGTGAGCACAAACTAAATGTGAGGCTGACAGACATTTTTTTTAAGAAACAGACACACAACTTTTATGAAGCCCGCAAACAAGTACTATAAATCTCACAAAAACCTAATTGTAGCTCACAGACATCAATATGAACGTCACAGACAAATCATATGAAGCTCACAGACAACTCCAACTCCAACCATATTAACAAACTAACACTTACAAACCAAATGACTTCACCAATCTGCCATTTTTGTATAAAACTCACACAAAAAAGCACACTTAGCTAATCATACATAACAACTCACAAACAACTACAACTCAAACCATATTGGCGCACAAACACTTACAAAGCAAATATTGTCTGTGTACACCAACAAAAAGCACTTCAGAAAATACACAAACAAATCCAACAGTTTCATTTCATACACAACAATATGAACGACACAAAAACACCAAATAGCTTCAATAACCTACCACTTTTGTATAGATCTCACACAAGAAACTCACACACACTTTGGTAATCTTACATAACAACTCACAGACAACTCCAAGTCAAATCATCCGGGGATACAGACACTGCAATTTCGAACACAGATAGATTATGTATTGCACAGACAAAAAGTATCGGTGTACCTTATTTCATGCCTAGGACCTTCTTCCACTTAAAGACACCTTACCGACACTTTGTGCATTTCACAGTCAGAAAGTGTCGGTGTACCTTATTTCAAGCCTAGGACCTTCTGCCACTTAAAGACACCGTGCCGACACTTTGTGAATTTCATAGACAGAAAGTGTTGGTGTACCTTATTTCATGCCTGGGACCTTCTGCCACTTAAAGACACTGTACCGACACTTTGTGAATTTCACAGACAGAAAGTGTCGGTGTACCTTATTTCATGCCTGGGACCTTCTGCCACTTAAAGACACCGTACCGACACTTTTTTGTTATACTAATCATTAAGAACAAAAGCATATGTTGAGAGTGTTGTTATAGTAACCATCACTCAAATTAAAAACATACATAAGCACTTCCAATAGGCAATAACCTCTACAAGACTACAAGGTGGAATTCGTTTCAACTGGTGTCAACCAGTTCTGCCACCAAAGCCCTGGGACCTGCACTTCCATGATGCCAACATCCGATTTACTTAGTATTTAGCAAAAATCTTCAGTAAAATTCTTAAACTAAGTGCACATGACTTTTCCAACACAAAATGAAATTGATTTTATTAAACTAAAATATAAGCCTACAAAAACAAAAAATTAAAACCCTAAGGTGACACAAACACTGCAATTGGAAGTCACACTTCACCAATTCATGATGAACCAACTGCACTAGAAATCTAGCAGAACACATGACAGAAATCAGTATATGACAAACAAAGAAAACTGAGCTGAAAAACTCACACGCATATGAATCAAATTGAATCCAAATCAGTAAAGGAACACGGTAGAAAGCAATGTTCCCAAGCACTGGTCAACAATCCTTGATGTTGGTAGATTAATTGAGTATTAAGGACTCAGAACTTTAACAAGTAACACAAGAAAAGAAGTAATTGGGCATGAAAACAAGTATTGTTTTATATTAACTGAAAGCAATGTTCCCAAGCATTGTTATTGGTTTGGTGAGCTTCTTGATTTATATTAACTGAAAGTAATATTACACCATATTGTTTCGAGTTTTATAACTGATAAAATGCTTGTAAAAATGAAAGCCCAGTTAATATTTCTTGAAATATAACTTTCAAAGAAATATGGTGTAATATTACCTGCTAGGGAACATTTATTTATAACTTTCAAAACAATAAATCAAACTCTAGAAATCCATCAATTTTTTTGTTATTCAAGAAATCAAACTACAAATGGAAAAAATCGAGGTTTACCCTTCGTTGAGGTCAGAGACTTTTGTCCGCACCATTTCTGAAAGTCGTTGTGCTTCCACCATCTGAAACTCGTTGTGCTTCCGCCGTCACGACCTTGACCTTGACCTCGCTAACCTTCACTGTGCTTCGACCCTCTACTGCGCTTCTAGCCGGGGGTGGTTCACGAGATACGGTCGTCTTCTGAAGGTGGGTTGAGAAGTTCAACGGAAGATGATGGCTCGGAAGAGTTTTGAAAATAAAACCGGTTGTGGGGGAGGAGAAGAGGTGAGTGGGAATGTGGGAAAGCGAGAATTGGAAAGAAGAATTGCAGAGGAGGTTTTTTTTGGGGAGATGGGGTAAAATTTTAAAATGAGTTTATATATGATGTACCCCAGGGTGTACACCAAGACTTTTTGAATTATTTTTTGGTTGGGACTTGGGAGTACTACATTTCCTTTCGTCCACCGCTATATTTCCTTTCATGAGAACAAGATCGTCAATCCTGAAGAACAAGATTGGTGACAAAACCATGCCAGTTCCAACTTGGAACTTCCAAGTCTCCAACTCTTGTCATGTGGAAGATTATGACAAACAATGTATGTCAACACATAATTGACGTGTTCGATGATGGACATTGGACAACATCATTCGGTCAAAAAATATATCTAAAAGGCCAAATTTGCAAAATTTGGAGTCATCTATGTAATAAGAATACGTACTTATATCATAAGCCGCCATGGTAATAATACTATTCCAACTAAAGCCACCAGCACATATCAGTATATCACTACATGCGGCTGTGAGGCGTGGGGTATTACATCTATAAACTAACATTGCATTCATTGGCTCTTACATCTAAACTTATAACACCACCGAGTAAAAAAGGGAAAAAAGATACAGAAATACACAGGGACAAACAGGTATTGCCCGAAGGAACCAATATGAACCCAGGAGTCACACTGAGACTTATTTCAATCCGAATGCGAAGGACAGCTTAGGGCGAGATTTGTTCTTGCCCAGCAATTTCATTTGCTTGGCACGTTCTTCCTCCTCTTCCTGTTTCTTTCTTCGCATAGCCTCCTCTTTCTGCCTTTGTAGCTCCTCCAATTCCCTATAACGTTCTTCCTCTATCCTCTGCTGCTCTAAAGCTTCCCTTCTCTGAGCTTCTTCCATCTTCATCCTATTCTCTTCAAGCACCTTATCCAATTCTTCCTTCTCTTTCTTAGCCTGCTCCTAAACAAACATAAATTAAACTGTCAGTCATCTCATTCATCAAAGGAACAGACCTCGATCTGGACATCTGGTTGAGTAACTCCACCGAACTGACATTAACTTTAACATATACCCATCTGACAACATTTTTTTCATTAGCATTTGAACTGCTGTATAAACCGTAAAACTGTGTTTCTGAGCTTTTTTGAATGCAAAAACACCTAAACCACGCAATTATTTCCAAAAAGGGAACTTTCAGGATAACCAAAAAGAAGCGGTGAAAATATTTTTATGGAACATAGGGACGGCTTGATTACTCAACCGTATCTAGATCCCCGAGGAATTTGCCAATTCGGATTTGAATTATGACCAACTACACTATCCACTTTCATCAAGAATAGACAGAAATTTTTCTGATCGTTGGGCCAACAGGGCCTACACTTATCCACGTGCTCTTGAATGCCATGAAAGTACTTGGCCTACATAAATCAGATCAGGAACTTTCTTTTTGCAAGGAGATGGATCGAGTCCTGTACATATAAGGGTCTGTTTGATAAAGGGTTTTGATGGGTTTGGAAGCAAAGGAGACTTGGGAGGCTTAGACTATATCTTGATATATAGGAGTACTTGGGATTTTATGAAAATTGATACATGGACATAATACCTGATTGTATAAGATTTCAATCACATTTTGTTCATTTTTCAAATGCATTTTGGCATCAAGATATAGAGTAAGAGCTCTTAAGCCTTATCCTCCAAAACCCTTCATCTAAGCATACCCTCAGCCACAAGGGGAGAGAGTCCACCAGTTGTGCCATTTTGGGATTCACCATTGCAATTTTTTTAACATCGCAACCAACCACAAAGGAACTTGCCTCCTTTTGTTTTGCCATGACAAGTGCAGCTTCTCTCTCCTTTTGAAGCTGAGCTGCAACCTCAATGGCAAGCTTCTTCCGCCCTTCTACAAGTCGCTTATCAATTTCAAGCTTCATATAGGCAGAGTTCAATTTCTCTTCAACTTTTTCCTTGATTGCTTCTTCAACCCTTTTTGCTGTTTCTTCTTCTATTAGTTTTAGTTCTGCTTCCTGTTGGCGCCTGTTAATTAATAAAAATAACAGAAAATCAGGCAAAGGGATGGACAGAAGCGGAAAACAATTGGATATTCCCATTTCATCATATTGCCAAAAATTATATTATGGCTCTTGAGGCAACATAGCAGTGACAAAATAAGAAGCTTTGACTTGAGTTTTCAAAAAAAAAAAAAACAATTATCACATTTTCCTTCATATGTATTAACTTAAAGTCTAAAATGAATGACAAACTAACCTTCACTTGACAATAGGCACTAAATAGATATGCTTATGCTTTATAGCATACCTCTTAACTGAATTCTGTAGAAACAGATGAGTATCAAACTTGGTGAACAGTAGATAAACCGTAAACGAAGCATCCAAATTGATCATCAAACATAACAAGTTGAATATAGCAGTAACTTCCTTCAATTAATCCTGTGGAGAAGAATGCAAAGTAACCTGTCGCATTTTGAAGGTAATCACCGAAGCACTTCAAGCCTTGTGTTAAGATAGGCTTATGAAAAGCAAATTCCTAAGGTTAAAATATGACCAAATTTTTCATCAAGTTTACTCATGAATATAACATTCTATAAACAAGATGGAACTTCTTTGCCTGTGGGATTTAAATCTAAAGATTGTAGATTAGTAGAGGGCACAGGTTAAGGATATTCAATACCCGGGCCAGACTGTTACGGACCTAGCCCATACTAGGCCCATAACAGTGCCATAAGCCCAGGTGTAGAACTCACTCCTAAAAGACCAGCCGATTAGGAGGAGGGAACACCTTGCTTATAAGCCACCAATCAATCCCATAATTGACCGGTGTGGGATCGTAACAATACCCCACGCTTCGAAGAGCCAACGTCCTCGTTGGTCACGGCTATGTTGGTCACGGTTGGCACCCCCAGGGCTCAAGCCACCACTCCATAGGCCACCACTCCGAGTGTCAGGACTAGGAAGATGGGGACGGCTCTGATACCAATTGTTACAGACCTAGCCCATACTAGGCCCATAGCAGTGTCATAAGCCCAGGTGTAGAACCCACTCCTAAAAGACCAGCCGATTAGGAGGAGGGAACACCTTGCTTATAAGCCACCAATCAATCCCATAATTGACCGGTGTGGGATCGTAACACAGACCAATATGACTTTGCATCAACAACTACAAATTATAGGCCTGACCTCCTATAGATGCATAGGGCAATGAGAGAGAGCGCACTTCCTGGCCTGATGCTGAAAACAGGATTTTGACAGATAGCTTGCTATTTAGTATTTCTAAGAGTTTGATTTATTTAGTTTTTGCGAGCACCAATTTGTTTTGTTTATTTGACGTCGACTTGCATTCTTGTGCTACCACATATTCCATTCTTCAGTGCAATTTTTTTTACATAATAGGTTAATAATTTGCTGGATGCCCCAGCTCTAGGCCCCCAGGGGGGCATTGTATAAAATACGGAGTATAAATTACACAAATGATCAAATAACTGAAACAACAATTACAAATATGAATCCAGTAAAATGAAAGGAAGCAAAATGAATTGTAGTCTATAATACACAAATCTAATAACTTTACTTTTAAAATAAAAATCATAATCTTAATTCCAAAATTCGGAGAAAATGATGGGGGATTGGGGGTACCTACGAAATGGAAACTTTTGAATGAGAATTAGTTTCTAGAAAGTAGTACCCTACTACCCTCTAGCTTGAGTAGCTTCTCCAAAAATCATTCCTAAACTTAGCAAGAAGTGCCTATGAATTTATATTACGGCATTCATCAAACTGATTCTGCCTAAAATACTTCTTGAAAGTGTAAAATTAATTCTAAACACCCCTTACTCAACCAAAAATGCCAAGAGTCACTGCAAATTGTAATCATTTGAGAACCCCACAATCAAAAGCTATAAGCTCGGTGGATTGTGAAACCAGTATTAGGAATAGCATAAGATCCTACACGGCCATATCAACCACAGAACTACATCACTCAATAGCTGACTAGCACAAACAATCAACTAATTAAAACATGTGCATTACTCTTTCTAATACACACAACTCGATCCAAACAAGGAAATACTTAAACATCAAATCCACCTACACAAGTTTACGAACAAGACACAATAACTCAAAGAAAAGTATAAAGAAAAACAAAAAGGTACCAGTGAAAGATATAAAACTACGCATATACCTTTTCTTCTCCTCTTCCTCTTTTCTTAGCATTTCACTATCATCCTTCCGGTCTTTTAAAGCAGTACTTGATCTGGGAGGTTTACCAATAGGTGACAAGGATTTGCTCTTACTTCTTTGTCTTCTATGACGCCTTGAAACTGGAGAGCGACTTTTGTGGCGTCTTGGGGATTTTGAACGACTTCTTTTTCTGTATAGAAACATATACTACTTGAGCAAAAAAAGAACATCAAGGACCAGAGGCTACAAGTTTCACGCATCAAACATGTCTCATCTCAACCAGCAGGACCAGCAAACCGAATATCAAAACAAAATACAATTACCTTATTGATTGACAAGAATTAACAGTGAGCAGCATCTTTTTATCATATGGGACTGACAATGTCAACCAAAGGACACCCACCGGCACTCATCATCTGATTGCTTCCCAATGAAATGAAGTGTACTGTTCTTTTAAATTCTAACATGAAGAAACCCATGTGCCCGTTTACATTTATAATGACTTCTGTTCCAAATTCTAAAGGCTTGGCTAACCACAAAGTTTGTAAAACAAACCCTATTATAACACTCCAAAGCCCAAATACGTGTTTTGTAGAGAAGAATATGGAAATCTAAGATACTCTGTGGCCAGTATGGTCTAAGGACTAAAGTCCCTCAATACGATGTGCGGATTTTTTTTAGCAAAGCAGAGAGTCCTTATAAGAAAAGAAAATATCCTAGGTAGCAACACTGTCATGTTTAAGTGGCCTGAGCAAACTGTAACTGAATCAGCAAGAAGACAAGTGAACTTCATTAGCCTAATAAACACAATCTGCTCCAGGATCGCAGCTCAAAATGCATATGCGTAGCTAAAAGATACTATATTTATTAACAGTATAGGGCTGCGATGTGAGTAATCGGGTATCACCTGCTGCGCGAGTAAGGAGATCGAATTCTCTCTCGACGGCTTCGGTGGCTAGACCTGTGCACCACCGGTGACGGAGACCGGGAATACCTTCTTCTATACGCTGGTGACCTCGACATATCCCTATCCCTACCCATCTCTGCTCCCTTCTGCTCAATCCAATCCAACCCAATTCAATCCAATCCAATCCAATCCAATCCAATCACTTAATTTGAATACAAAAAGCCAAAAATGAATTTTTCGTCTGCATTAAACATAAGAACTTTTTAAAACTATTTTACATATAAAATCTGAAGATCATACGTAAATCGAAACCTTATGCAGAAAATTACCTGCCACTCCGAATATATAATTGATCTGTGTCGGATCACTGTTAACTCCCAATTTCCGATGATGAGAAACTAAAAGCCCTAAGCCTGTTGGGGATAATATAAAAATATACTACGGGTAGAATGAATCAATGAACTCAATATCTTTGTTGGGCCTCTTCTGGAGATATGAAATAGATGTGGAGTAGCAAACCATCTACCTTTTGTTTTGTAAAACAAAACATCTCCAGCCCGTTTAATAGGGGTATTTTTGAGTTTACTTTTCTGTTTTTCGTTGTTCAATTTTCTGTTATAATTTTTCGATTCTTCTTTCTCCAATTTTTCATTTTCATTTCTAGTTTTGTATTTTCAAATATGATAACATGTTAACATTATTTTTACAACCAGGCTGGACAAGGACCTCCGGATCATTGACCGGACCGGAAGGCGATCGTTGGATCGTTGGTCGGGCCGGATACTGTCATATCGATTGCCAAGTCATCGACTGGATCAAATAGTGACCATCGAATCATCGATGAAATTGGACAGAGACCATGGACCGGACCCAACAGGGACCATTAGGTCATGGACCATATGGGACAGACAGAGATCACCAGGTCATTGACTGGATTGGACCGCCGTGCAGTCAACCGGACCGGACATCGGCAACTGGGTCATTTACTAGACCGTGGCAGAACTGAGACCAAAGCAACATCGGGTCCACCACTAAGCGTAAATATGCAAATTCATTGCAGCAGCACTGTAGCATCCACATATTTCAAATTTTGGAAATTAGTACTGCATCTGTCCCAAAGTGATTTGCAAGTTTGATTTTTCTTGGTCAAATGTTTTTATTTTATTTGCTTAATAAGGAAGTCAATTTTAAATTATATTCTAATTTGGAGTTTGCAACTTTGAAAAGAATTTAATGTAGTTTGTTAATGTGTAAATTTTTATTATTAAAAATTGATTTAAATATCAATAAAAAGGTTTGACTTTATTATTGATTGACAGAAGAATGTTGAATTTGCAAAAGAATTTGAGACAAAAGGAGTAAAACTTACTTTTTCAATTCATTAATCTCTCTACATAATTGCAATACTTTGGGAAACCTCATTTTCCCGCTCATCCCCTGAGCCTTTCACTCGCACGATTCCGCCTATTTCATCTAGGCCTATATCCGTCTTTTCAATTTCCGCCTAATTATTTTCGCCTAATTCATGCCTCATCCGCTCCTCAGCGGTAAATCATCGCCTGCTTCAATCGATTGCTCTCCTCAGTAGTAGATAATCGCCTGCTTCAAATCGATGGCTGAAGTAGGCGATGCCTCTGAATCCAGCCGCTGTGCCCCTCCTCAGATCTCATCTCTCAAGTCTTCACATGAACAAATCGATTAGTGAAGAAGCATGGCTGAAGTTTTTGATGAATTGGGAATAACGCATTCTTTCAATTATAGCTACTTTTCCAGATTGCGTGGCTACTTCGTTACAGAAAAGGAGACGATGAGTGTGAGTATAGATGAAATTGAAGATGAATTGGGAATACTAGCAGAGGAAAACGAAGCCATAGCTGCCAAAAAAGAGATGTCCCTGCGTTCTTCTTCAACGTTCCTGCAGGAAGCGGCCAAAATTTCAGACCAACCGGCCTGTTCACCGTCCAGACCAACCTGCCTGTTCACCGTCCAGACCAACCGGCCTGTTCACCGTCGAATGGCTCCTTCGACGGTCAGGGATGAGGATAAGGTACTGTTACCAAATTCTATTTTTATTAATTTTTAAATAAAATTAATAAAATATATTAATTTTACTTTATTAGTTCTATATTACCAAATTCATTATTCTATTAGATAATGAATCATATTTTAATTTCTAAATTATCGAGAGTTGCCTGATATAATAGAAGTGTATCTGATATATACTGCATCATCAAATTAATTAAACTAAACCTATTGGAACTTAACGTATGGGAATAGTCTCCTACTTAATTACGGTTCTAATTGTCATTGCTATTTAACCCTATCTCACAGCCACCCTATTATTAACTCAGAGGCATTTATATCGGAAGGTTTTTTTTCTCTTGCTTAACTCTTTGCAGTTTGTACACAAAAAATGCCTCCAGTCAAAAAAATTGCTCCAGTCAAGCTCTTCCTGGCTAATCTCACAACAAAAAGTGATAAGAGCTCAGCCATCATTGTGCGTGTCATACGAAAGTGGAATGTGCCAATGTCTCGGTCTGTTGAGCTTTTGCTCCAAGATGATCAGGTAATTAATTTCCCCTACTTTGTTTATTCATGATCATCATTCTAAGCCTCATGCCTCTGTTTTTATTTTTTAAGATACCTCATGCCTCCGTGTGCAGCCTATACTTTCTGCATATTTGATTGAGTGTATGACTGCACGAGTGTATGCTATAATAGTATGACAAAGACAATGACTCTGTGAGTAATTAAATGGGTTTATATGTGTACACACGGATTTATGATTGCATAAAGGTAGACTATAATGGTATGACTTTCCAATCTTCTGAAAACACAGGCTTAAACATGTAAGCCAAAGGATTTTTATTTGCCAAAGTTGTTTTTTTTACTGTGTTGCCAATATACCCATGCAGTCTAGACTTTATGTATAATTCCAGCGCAAATAGATTGGATGCTTCCAGTCTCACCATATCAATCTTTGATGGAATTCATGAATTACATCAAAGATATATGTGCCTGTCAATAACATAAATGTTCCAGCAAGGCTGTTAACAATTGCACTGGATATGTTTTATAAAAGCCAAGTTGCTCTATAATCATTAATTTGTCACACAAAATATTCATATGCTTTTTATTTAAAGATCTACCCGGTCTTGACTACTTCCTACTGTGTGAATTATTAGTTGAATAGTGTAAGTGTTCATATTGTATTTCTATTATTTAGTAAAGAATTTATTCAAATGTGAAATAGGGTTCTACAATTCAAGCAACCATAGAAGAGCCGCATGTTCCTATATTTGATGATCAAATTGAAGAGGGTAAAATCTATGCGATGGTAAAATTCACCATCCAAAGTAATGTAGGAACGTGGAGACCAAGCTCTCATGATTGTAGGCTCCGCTTCACTGTCACTACGAAAGTAAAGCTGCACATGAAAGACAGCTTTGATCGTTCTCCTTTCGAGTTTAAAAGCTTCAAAGATATCCTGAATGCACCAGAAGCAAAAACACCTGATCTGTTTGGTAATGTTAATATGTTTAATCCTCCCATTTTCTTTGTTTTTTAATTTACAAACACATAAAAATATGCACTTAAATTAATGAGATTTTTTATTGTATTCAGATGTTATTGGAGCTTTTGATCCAAGAGTAAAACCGAACCATAGTCCTACAGTTGACGGAAAAACGAAATGGTGCAACTTTAATATTCGCAACTTAGAGTTAAGATAGTTTTCCTTATATTCAAATTAACTTCTTATATCAGTTAGATTATGCATTGATTTGAGTAAATATTAAAATTAAATTCTTATAAGCATAGGAATTTGAAGATACATTGCACTCTTTGGGATTCATATGCTGATGCATTCTTGGAGTATCTCAAAACACCTCGATCTGGTGCAGTTGTTGTTTTGCTCCAGCTTTGCCGCTTAAACGCACGATGGGGTATCCTTTTTTGAAAATATGTTTTGCATTGTGGCTGTTTTGTTGAAATGTGGGGAATTGAATTGTATTTTTTTAGTTTTTTTTAATTGTATTATTTTCAGGTGGCGTTTCAACTTCATACCATGCTACAAAGTTGTTAATTGATGAAAATATCCCAGAAATTAAAGACTTCCGTGCGAGGTTAGAACTTTTACTTTTTCATATAAAAGTAAAAGAAAAAACATTCAGTAACATTCATTTTATCCAAATATGTTAGTATAAAGAAACCAAGCAGAATATGCCGATATTGACTGCCAAAGGGAGCCCTGAACAAGAAACTGTCAAAATACTTTCCTGTGACACAATAATGCATTAGTTTCAAAAGCTTTTTCAACCTTAAGTGCAACAACTTACTAAGTTGTCATGCTAAAAAAATGTCTAGCATAAAACGAAATTATAACTTCCATTTTTAATGTAGAAAACATGTTGAAAAGGTACTCAATTTTGTTTCCTGATATTTCTATTATCTATATTTCACGCAAAATCCAAGCTTTGAACAAAAAACAAGTCAAACAGATTACAGCAAAGCTTTTCATAAAGATCACTGAATACTCATCCAATCTTAAACTTCACTTAAAATTGGTAAGGTAGCCCAGGATCAGAAAAATTGAACCCATTTCCACATATAGTACCACTCTAAGAGATGTGCACTTTAGCCCATGAACTGAGATGTGTAGTGTACCTTAATCTTGGTTAACTATAAAATGCTTTGCATAGTTGTTGTTTCCCCATCGTTAATTGTTAATATATTTAATGATATGCCCAGATTATTAATGCAAACTTTTAACAGGTTGTCAAGCTTAAACATACACTCTATTCAGTGCAACAGTACAGGTTTATCAGGAGGTACATCATCCCAAAGTGATGGAAGTGAGGTTGGTACTACCAAAAAGTTGTCTGAATTGGCTACAATCAAAGAGGTAATGTTTACATGCAATAAATTCATACTTTTAAATTTATGTTTGATTTTCACCTATCATTATTCTTCTCTTATGTTTTAAAAAGGTGCGTGGTTGTTGGTTTTATGCTAAAGTCCAAACAATCATAAATAGAGAGAATTGGGCTTACCTTAGCTGCTTCAATCGGAGGTGTTATAAGAAGGTTTTGAGTTCTCACTCTTTAAATTACTTTGTTCTTTGTTAAATCTCATGATTTTACATGTATGGTGGGATTCTTATAATGCATTAGCTATGTTCACAAAGTTATAAAGCCTTGATGTTGTTTTGACGATGATCATAATTCATAACTGTTGTTTACCGATAATGATCATAAAGTTTTAATGTTGTTTAGATTCTGCATTTATGTTTTGAATTTGGTGCTTAACCCGCCTCTTGCTACAGTTTGAATATTTATTATGTTTTTTCTGTGAACTGATAAATAAGGAAGAAATTGTGCTTACACTTTTGATGATTGAAATAAACTGGTATGTGTTTTCAAAGAAAGAGATTCTATCATTTTTACTCTTGAAATACAAATCTGTTTCCATAAAAGTCTTCATGTTGAAAAAAGCCAGAGG